AAACAGATGAGGGAGAAAACTGTTTAAGAGGGAAAATTATTAGGTATTTTTGTCATGACAGGAGTCCATAGCGAAGGCTGTATAGTGGAGTGGACCTGGGGGGAGGGTTTTAAAACAATGAAAGAATTTTTCTTTTACTTTTCCAAGAGGGTAGTGTACTAGGGGTGAGGGTTGGGAGGGGAGAAAAGTGCAACAATGAATGAATTGAAATCCAAAGTCTCTGTAAATTTTCATTGAAATTAGTAATAAATTAAAAACAAACAAAAAAACCCAAAAAACCAAAACAAACAAACAAAGCCCCTCACTGCTATTGAGTTTGAAATGACTCACAGTTGCCCTTCCAGGGTGTTTTCAGGAGGCCCTAGATTACAAGGGAAGAGACTGCCTATCTTTTTCCAGCAGAGCTGCTGATGAGAAGTGTCTGAGATGCCACTTTTGGGTGAGTAGTGTAACTCAGTATGGACTATGCCTAGAGAGCTCCTCGGATAGAATAAGAGTGTATATTATTTGATCTTTTCTATAGGTTTCTCTAGTTGTGTTCATTGATAGCAGTTTTAAATATCAATGGCTACACTGTTAAAATGACACATATACCAAGGTATGGGTTAAAATAGACTCCATGGTCTTAGAACATGGATGCTAACTTCCATACTACCATTTCTCTGTCAGTTTTTCTTACTATGGTTGTTTACATCTTGTGATGTGGGAAGCTACTATTACCAGTATTTCAAATACTAAGACCAAGAAAGAACCAATTGGTCATCAACTACTGATAGAACAGGTTCTCTGATAACCTATGAAAAGCCCTATGATATAGTGCCATAAAATGAGCCCCCCAGGTTGGCAAGCACTCAGAATATGTTTTGGGGAAAATTGCTTACTCAAAGAAGTAAACCTTATTGGTGTGGAAGCAAAGCTTTCACTCAATAAAGAACCTTCATTTGCTGATGTAGACAGACTCAAAATAATGAGAAACAGTTGAAAATAAACATTGATAACTGAAATATAAAATGTATGAATAAAGTATGAATCTAGGAAAATTGGAAGTTGTTAAAAATTAAATATAATACATAAAGACGGGCATCTTAGTCATCAGTGAGTTGAGAGTACTGATACTGATTGGCTGTTATGAATCAGACAACCATATGATCTATGCTAAGAATGATAAATTTAAGAGAAACAGAGTTGGATGCATTGTAAAAAAATGTTCTAAATATGTTGTCATTGGCAGAATAACATTTATACCC